GAACCATCAATGGGTAAAACCGAGGACACGAAAGCTTACCTCACAAGCTAACAGTCCCAACAAAGAGTCATCACAAGTCCACGGTCACCAAACAGCAGAATCACAGTCTGTTTATACCAGCAACAATATCAATATATCATATCTAGACGTTCATCACATTACGTCAACGTTTCCTTTTTCGTTTAATGCCCTTAGGCTTCTCTCAAAGCCATAAGCCTTCAATATCTTAGGTTCTGACTTAGTTTAATTATTCCAGAGGTTCATATTAACCAATCAAGGGTCCAGAAACCCAATATACGCTTCTGTTTGGACAGAACAGCTTACAACACGAAATTCACAGAATATCTGGATATTCCACGGGGCCATATCCGGATATCTCAGACCCAATATCCGGATATCATATCCGGATATTTCACGACAGAATGCAGTTCTGTATTTTCGCGAAGATATCCTTCCAAGGTTCCATTTTTAGCGTTACCAAACATTGAAGCATGCATTTTTAGACACATTTAAGCCAGGGTTCATGTTGGTTACTTAATAGTCTCATTTAACATGCCAAGACTTGAGCTTTTACAAGGAAACTCAAGAACAAACGTAAGGAATATACCCCAAAGGCTCAAAACAGAGGAAAAGAATGATCTTAGAGCTTCCTACTCAGTTCTATGATTCTGACCTCACAAGACCACGAAAATGGTTCCAAAGTTTGGTCTTTTTCTTCACACAATGGCTCCTTATAGTTACAAAAGACAAGTGAATGGCTCCTACTCTACCAAACAATGAAGTCAGCCCTCAACCCTCACAACTCAGAGGCTACAACTCAGAAATGGAGTGCCTTTCTCCCCCACAATGCTTGTTCACACAAAGCTATGGTGTTTTGGTGAAGAGAATGTGAAGAAATATGGTCATTTGAGAGGTTTTCATGCAAGGAGGGCTATGGGAGAAGGTGGCAGACTAGTAGCCAAGGCACCCAAGGAGCTCTACGTAGTAAAATCAGAAAATTGACCTAGGTTATTGTGCACAAGGTTATATATAGGTGCACTTAATTAATCCAGTGATATTGGTTCTAATAGCTTTGCTAATCATTTTGCTACCAAATTTTATATTCTGAACCTAGCCATTTTTCTATGAATTATCATATTTTTATTATAATTTTTGCAACACTTTGTCGGTACGCGTTTTATACGTAGACAATATTAGTTCTGACGTCAACACACATACTTATGACTCCAAACTTGATATACTTAACCTAGATACTTTTCTAGGAATATTCATGTACTTATTATAATTTTTCGTGATATTCCACGGTACGCATTTATACCGTGAAATAGAACCGGTATCCGCACTTTTCGTTAAAAAAGCGACTTTCAACGTTATTAAATCCTTGTGATAATTATTTAAGTCTTCTCATATTTATTCAACGTCAATTATGGAATTATTTCTTAAACTCATAATTAAATTATTTAAATTCCAAATTTAACGATGCAGGTTCTTACAATAGAGTTATACATGGTTGATAATGGGTTAAGTGATGACCATATAAGTTGGAGGACACATGAATCCAATGTTTTAAGATTTTGGGTAAAGACATGAATTCGAACTCACTTCTCGTGATTAGGCTAGCTTAGCACATTGCTGGTGGTCTCCCACCACCTGGTCTGTATAACATTGGTATCAAAGACAATTTTGACTTTATTAGCCAAATGTTTGGCTAGAGGCTTGTTAAGTATTTGAACTCAGAGTACTTAGAGATGCTCCTGTCGAAGGGGAGAGTACTAATGCGGGGTTTCACCCTTGAGAGGGATATTGTTGGGATATTCAAATGAGATAAAGTCTCACATTGGTTTCTAATGGCTTATGTAAAGACCATATAAGTGGAAGAACACATGAACTTTGTCACACCTCATGTGCACCTGTGTATTAACGTAATTATGGTATTAAATGCAGCTAGAATTTAAAATAATTATGGATAAACTTTCTCCTTCTCAAATAAAGTCATTTCGTGTTCATTTACGTCTACTTCCTTAGTTATTAACCTTACATTAGTTATAATTATCCTACATTAGTCTATAATCGCATAATAAGTAGCCCACATAGACCAAAAAGCAAAAAAATATAATTTAAAGATGTTGGCTCAATGCGTTTTAGTGCCCAAAAGTGCGTTGTAGCACATTTCAATATGTTTTAGCACTTCAGCATGTTGTAGTGTCCAGTAGCATGCTATAGTGCGCTCAACAGGCATTTTCTTTGCATTTAGTGTGCTCTAGCGCACTATAGCGCCCTCAAATAGTTGTTTATTGTCTCATAGTGCCCTTTAGCACATTGTAGCACACCGGGTGAGTATTTTCTAGTTTCTAAGTGTGTTGTAGCACGCTTAACTAGAGAGAAATGTCCCAAAGCAAATTTTAGCATGCTCTGACACGCTGTAGCGCACTTGGCACGAAATTGAGATGTTCTTTCAAGGCATTGGACCCCTCTTTGAGGATGTAAACACAACTCTAAATACCTAATGGCCAATCCTACAATGTTTACGATTAATCAACCTCAAATGCATACATTTTCCAACCATTCCATGATTGTTTGACTTTCATTCCAAGCCAATATACATTAAAATACATGTATGATTGTTAACTCTCCCAAATGAGAGTTAATTTGCTATTTTTATGATGAATTTATTGCATAAATTCCATATAAGTTGTCTTGTTTGCATGATAATTGAGCTAAATGTTGCATATTCATGATTAAGTTCTTTGAGATGACAAAGTATGGAAAATGAGATAATATTCCTTGGTTTTGTGTAAGGAAAAATGATTTGTTGAGTGTTTGTCTTTGCAGGAAAAGTTGACGCCGAGTGCTGTAGCAGAGAAGCTGACGAAGTAATGATATAGCAATTGGTATAGCATAACAGCCAGGACAGGGGAACAACTGAAATTCAAATTTCAAAAGTTAGTTATTCCCCAACAAATGGATAAAGCACCAGCAAGCGAAGGATAATGGACGTTTTTGAAGATTAATTCTTATCTCAAAATCCCAAAAATCAAGGTTAAAAAACTCTTATCTAGTCAACAACAATATTGGCACAAGAAAATCAAGAAGATCAAGATCTTATCCAATCAAGTGCCAACAGCCTAAGAAAATAGGGATAAGATAAGGCTGCAGCAGCACAATTCATGGATTTTCACTCCCAAAGTTGAGGCCCAATTAACCAACCACCTTTACTATTTAAAGAGGAGTCTCTTACGGATTAAAAAAAAGGTCAGAAAGGGTAGAAAGGCAAGAGGCAATGCAGGATCGACTGAAGGTAACATCACACCATGTTTTAGAGAAAGTGAGATTCTTGGAGGAGGAAGAGTTGCTAGAGCATTGCTGGAGCAAGACTGTGAGAGAGTTTTACAGCAGCATTCATTTCATATTCTTTTCTACTTTTCCATGAATTCTTTCTTCTTCTTCTCTGTTTTCTTTAATTCCATCATGAGTTAAATTGCTCTATAGGTTTGGTGATAAAGTACATGTAACATCCCGGGAGCTGACGAGGGCGGGGAGTGATCGCCGGTGCGAAAAGGCATGGACAATGAGCGGCTCCTGGCAGGCTTCCAGCGATGGGGGTACATGAATAAATCGAATCAACACCAGAAAGAGAGGGATTCCAGAGACTGTGCTGGTATGAGACAGTACAGTTGGGAATAGCTTATAAGAATTAATTGGTACTACCTATACTAACAAGATGCATCCACTTTTCGCTAGCCCAGAACGGAAGAACTCCATTGTTAAACGTGCTTGACTTGGGGCAATTCTGGGATGCGTGACCTCTTGGGAAGTTTTCCCGAGAAGTGTGCGAGTAAGGACATTTTTATTCCATAGACATTTTTATTCCATTTTTGGAGCTTAGGAACAAATCTATTCAACATCAAATTTATCTTTGATCTTTTATCCCAATTCCCAACCATTAACTCCTCAAAATTTGGGTGATCCATCCAGGATGCAAGGAACCAAAACGGTCTCTCTAGCGAAATATTATTTCTTTTAGAAATATACAACAACAGAGGATTGTGATCGGATTGCAATCTGGGGAGAATTCTGACCTCAGAATCTTCAAAAGTGATTCTCCAAGAAAGATTAACACAAACTCTATCTAGCTTTTTATAGACTCTATCAAGATGATTCCATTTTGGACCTTGCCATGTGAAATTAGGTCCAAAACAACAAAGATTATCAACAAGACAGCTATCTAAGAACTCAGAAAATCTTTAGCACTTAGCTCTATCAACTTGAGAACCACCCTTTTTCTCACTAGCATCTTTAATATAATTAAAATCTCCTGCAACAACCCAAGGAATACTAATATTCTGACTGAATTGATACACATCATTCAACATATCATGACGCTCCTCTTCTTTAGGACTAGCATACACAGCTGTGCAAACAAATTTAACGTGATCACCAATATCGACCATCAAATGAAGATTTTGCTTTGATTGAGAGATGAGATGAATTGAAGATATATTAGAATCCCACATAGCCCAAATACCTCCTGAAAAAACCAACTGCTTCTTCAAAAGTGGCTTGATCACATTTTAATTTTTTCATTAACTTTCTACTATTCACACTTCCAGTACGAGTTTCCATTAACACCATCATACAAATTCCATGTTTTTCCACTATCATTTTTAAGGTACGACCAAGAGTAGGCTTAGCAGCACCTCTACAATTCTAAAGGAGGACAAACATTAACAAGAACGTTGAGAAGTTGCAGGATGAGCTTGTACCTGCGAAAAACGTCTTGTTGTATTTTTTCCAACACCACGAAGGCCAACAATACCTTTGGACTTACTAGAAACACTTCTCAATTGACTCGTTTTTGGATTATGAGGCTTTGGATTTTGATTTTTCCTACTAACCTTCTGGCTAGTCTCTATATTACTATCTTGATTCACCAAAACTAGTCTCAACTCATCCATAATAATGGCATTATCAGTCACCTTCCTTTCTGAACCAACAAACGTCTAAGATGGTTGCCTATCTAAATTTGATTTAGCAACAGAGTGAATTTTCTTCAAAATTGTTGTTTCATCATTTGACTTCATATCTTCATAGACCTCATTTTTTATCAAATTGTCCGACATTAGTTTGAAAGCATTCTCCATGTTAATAAGTTTGACCTTATCGTGAGAAACTTTCCTCTTCTCCTTATTTGCATCCAAAGACACAACTTGGCTCCCCAGAGTAAGCTGTCTTATCCCCTCTTTATTTTCCTGGCTAAGATTCTCAGTACTATGATTACCCTCTTTTGTGTCAAAACCCAAATTCGCTTGCTCTGATTTATAGATGTCATCTCTTTGCTTCTGCAACCCTTCATACCTCTTTCCTTGAACATTCCTCCCTTTTTTTCCCCTGAGAAACCACCATCCACAGACCAAACCCCTTCTTTTTATACTCTTCTTGATCAATAATAGTTTGATCATTAACCATGACAATTTCTCTGCAGGGATTTTCCCCCATAACATCCTTATCAACATAACTTGAAATTCTACTGGTATAAGTCTCAGACTTATGCCCGTACTTCCCACATGTATAGCAAATAAGGTGCAAACCTTCATATTCCACCTTCTTGTAACGACCCTCTATCATATGTTCTGCCTTCAGAGGTTGGCTCAAGTCAAGCTCTAAACAGATACGAGCGAATTTACCTGTTGCTAGGTTAGTCGTTTCATTATCCAACCGGATAAATTTTCCAAGCCAATCGCCCACCTTTTTCATTAAAGAAGTATTAATATACTCCAAGGGAAACCCTGGAAGTCTAACCCAAGCTATGATTTTATTAATGGAAGCTTGATACGGATAAAAATCCGCTTCCTAAAATCTTACAGCAAGATAGTGATCAAAGATTATCCAAGGACCAGCTGTGAGAGCATACTCCATATCAAATTTCCTTTTAGACCGGACCAAGAAAAATTCATTTTCAATGGCTGTAACATGGATCTTTCTATCTCTTTCCCACATATTTTCCAGCCTCCTTTTCATAAAGCTTATTGAAAGTTTCTTTCCCAGCAATTTAACTATGAGAGATTGTTTCCAAGGCTTCCACACTTTCTCTTTGAAACCATCTGATAACTTAAAGTTCGTTTTGCCATCTTCACGTACCTCAATCATCACCTCTTCCACACCTACGAGCGTCTCTTGAGCAACTTCGTCTATTTTGTCCATCTGCATCTCATTAACATCATTCACATCATTCTCTTCATCAGACACCCATTCTCCATTATGCCTCATCAAAATTTCCTTGAAACTTGTTTGTCCCTCAATCCACGCTTCATCATGCGGAATAGAAGACTAATCATTTGAGAAAGATCCCCCTTCTTTATATTTCTTCTTACTTCTTTGCAGATTATCGACCTCCTCTGATCTTAATTCATGAACATCAGAATTTTGCATGGCGGCACAGATCCCTAGGAAACCCTAGCAGAGCAAAAAAAATTCAGACTGCGATATCTGACTATGGAGTGTGTGTGTGTGTGTGTGTATTTACTTATTTATAATTTAGCAATTTATATTTTTTAGTAATTTACTTTTCTAAAATTTATATTGTTACATATATATATATATATATATATATATATATATATATATATATATCTATATATATATATATATGTTCTAATTTATATTTAAGCAAATTTAGAATTTTTCAATTTATAATAACTATTTACGTGTATAGTAACATTACGTGATATCATATATGTAACAAATGTCATATATGTATTATTTAATTATTTACTTTCATTTTTTCATGTTCTTTATATTGATATGTTATGTCTTTACATTTAGAGTAAATTATTACGGTAAATTTTTTTATAACTTATTTTTGTAGTGACGTGATTGTCTTTACTTTTATTGTGATGTCAAATTTAAGTAATGGTATGTTATAACTTACAATTTATTTTTATGAAATCTTTTTGGAGTTATTCACATGTTTGTTTTACGTTTTACGTTTTACGTTTTACGTCTTAAGGCTTCACACAAGCCATAAGCCCTTAATCACATGATTCTTCCTCACATTAATTAATTACAGAAGTTCAACTTCCTCAAACTAGGGTCCACAAACCCATAGATCAGTTCTGGATGGACAGTACGCTACTGTTCCTCACAAACCCAGAATATCCGGATATTCCTCGGGGACATATCCGGATATGCAATATCTGGATATCTCACAGGCAATATCCGGATATCCAATATCCGGATATCACTCTGTAAATATCTGAATATCAATATCCGGATATCCAGATCCCCATATCCGGATATCAATATCCGGATATTTCGCGACAGAATGCAGTTTATGCATTTCGCGAAGATATACTTCCAATGTTCCATTTTTAACACTTCCAGAAGCTTAAACATGCATCTTAAGGTTCATTGAGGTTCATATGACAGTTGGTTACTTGTTTAATTCATTAAACATGCCAAGACTTCATCTTTAAGCAACAAATCTCAAGACCAAGGTTGGTACAACTTACCACAGTTAAAACTCAGCAAAATGGGTGCTCTTGGAGCTCACACAACAGCTCCAAGGTTCTGATTTCAAGGGTGCACGAAAATACTCTTCAAGCAAGGATCTTTCTTCACAAAGTTGGCTCCTTGGAGCTCCAACAACCAAGGAAGAAGCTCACACCCTCACACAAGGCCACTCAGCCCACAAACTGACTTCAAACAGCCCCTTAACTCAGAACTAAAGCTCTCTACACACTCACAAAGGCCACTCACACAAGGCTCAAGTGTTTGGAGATAAAGAAACCAAGCAAAAGTGACACTTGATCTCCAAAATGGTGAAGAAAACCCCATGAAACAGTAGCAAGAACAGACCGGCCACCCAACTCACGTAGAGAAACTGAATGCCTACGGTTTTGTGCCTTAACAAGCCTATTTATAGCCACTTAACCAATTAACACACAATATTAACTTTAATTGCTACGCTTAGCATTTTAAATCCAAAATTTGGATTCTTAACCTACTCAATTTTACAAGAATTACCATATTTTTCTTATAATTTTCAGAGCACCTTTCTGGTACGCGCTTTTCATAGCCAGTATCAGTTTCTTGCACCATTTCTCATTATTTTAACCTGAAACTCGTTTTACAAGTCCTACATATTATTCTAGTAATTAGCATGCAATTATAATAATTTTTCGGGATACTTTTTCAGTATGCATTTATACCGACTAGCAGAACCGGTATCTGCACTTTTCTTCCGAAAAACGACTTTCAGCATTCTTAATCACTTACTATAATTATTAAAGCCTCATAATAATTATTAGGGTCAATTATGAAATTATTTTCTAATCATAATTAACTAATTAATTACCTTAATTAACGGTGCGAGTTCTTACATTTACCCCACTTTTTTAGGATTTTGTCCTCAAAATCAGAATATACTTGTCTCGGTAGTCAGGATACTGCCGGAGAAGCTCGTCCTCACACTCCCAGGTACACTCCTCAGGAGTTCTTCCTGACCATTGCACTTTGATCATCGGAATGATCTTGCTCTTCAGCTCCTTCTCGCCACGATCGAGAATCTTGAGTGGTCCGACGGGAGTTTACAAGTTCTCCCAAACCTCCACATCATCCGGTTGCACCACGTGCGAAGGATCCGCTACATACTTGCGAAGTTGAGACACGTGAAACACGTCGTGGATGTTGGCTAGGTTCGGAGGCAAGGCAAGCCGGTAGGCAAAAGGTCCTACTCTACCAAGAATCTGATAGGGCCCAATAAACCACGGGCTTAGCTTCCTCACTCTGAGTGCCCGTCCAACACCGGTGACAGGTGAAAGCCTCACAAACACGTGCTCACCCTCACTGAACTCCAGTGGACGATGCTTGACATCGTAGTAGCTCTTCTGGTGATTCTGCGCCTGCTTCAGCTTTTCCCTGATCATCTGGATCTGCAGGGTGGTATCTTGGACAAAGTCCAAGCCAAACAACTCACGATCCCCAACCTCAGACCAGCAGGTAGGTGTACGACACCTCCTACCGTAGAGCGCCTCGTAGGGTGCCATGCCCAGGCTAGCATGGAAACTGTTGTTATACGAAAACTCCACCAAAAGAAGGTACCTATCCTATGCCGAGCCATGCTCCAACGAGCAAGCCCGCAACATGTCCTCCAAGGTCTGGATAGTCCGCTCAGTCTGTCCATCATTCTGAGGGTGATAGGTTGTACTCAATCTCAACTGAGTACCAAACGCTCCCTGCAGCGCCTCCCAGAACCGAGAGGTGAACTTCGGGTCCCTATCACAATGACCCATATCGAGTCACAGCCAACCTGAGTCTTCGGAAAACCCACAACGAAGTCCATGGAAATGCTCTCCCATTTCCATTCCGGAATCTCAAGAGGTTAAAGTTTACCAGACAGCTTCTGGAGTTCAATCTTCACTTCTGGCAGATCAAACACTTGGACACATACACAGCTATGTCCTTCTTCATTCCAGGCCACCAGAAATTCCTTTTCAGGTCTTGGTACATCTTTGTAGCACCTGGGTGAACAGTAAACTGTCTCTTATGGGCCTCCACCATAACCTCTTCGATCAAAGGATCTCGAGGATTCACAACACGCTTCTGAAACAACAGAAGTCCATCCTCATTCCAAGACACACCGTTTTGGTTCTTTACGTAGTCGAGACACTCTTTCTGCACTTGCGCCTCTTGGATCTTCTCCATAAGCTCATTCTTGACTCTCATAGTCTCCATCTCGAGAAGTGCACCCCCAAACAAGGTTGTCACCTTCAGATCTCGAAACTTCTCTGTGAGGTCGAAGTCACCCATCGTCAAACTGGATAAACTCACGGATTTCCGACTCAAAGCATCAGCTACCACATTGGCCTTGCCAGGATGGTACTTTAACTCAAAGTCGTAGTTCTTCAGAAACTCCATCCATCTCCTCTGCCTCATATTTATCTCCTTCTGATCAAACAGATACTTCAAGCTCTTGTGGTCACTGAACACCGCAAACTGCATACCGAACAGGTAATGCCTCCAAATCTTGAAAGCAAAAACAATCGCAGCCAACTCCAAATCATGAGTCGGGTAGTTGTCCTCATGAGGCTTCAACTGCCTCGAAACAAAAGCAACAGCTCTACTAGACTGCATCAACACACAGCCTAGCCCCTTTCCAGAAGCATCACAGTAAAGCTCAAACTGCTCCTCAGGATCAGGAAGGACCAACACAGGTGAAGTAGTCAATCTCTCCTTCAACTCCTGAAAGTACGCCTCGCACTCGTGAGTCCACACAAATAGAGTCTCCTTTCGGGTAAGGCGAGTCAAAGGGAGAACCATCGTGGAGAAACCCTTGATTAACCTCCGATAGTAACCTGCCAAACCTAAGAAGCCCCTCACCTCCGTAACTGTCTTGGGCCTCTCCCAATCCAGCACGGCCTCAATCTTGTTGGGATCCACTGCAACTCCATTCGCTGAAATCACATGCCCCAGAAACTTGACTGATTTGAGCCAAAACTCATACTTAGAAGGTTTAGCATAAAGTTTCTTCTCCTTCAGCAGTTGCAAAACAATCCTCAGATGCTCTGCATGCTCCTCCTCAGTCTTGGAGTAAATCAGAATGTCATCAATAAACACTATCACAAACTGATCCAGATACGGCTGGAAAATCCTTTTCATGTAATCCATGAACACTGTCGACGCATTGGTGAGTCCAAAAGGAATCACCAAATACGCAAAGTGACCGTATCTCGAACGAAACGCGGTATTAGGGACATCCTCCGGCTTCACCCGAATCTGATGGTATCCGGACCGAAGATCAATCTTGGAATACACGCAAGCACCCCTGAGCCGATCCAACAGATCATCAATCCGAGGAAGGGGATACTTGTTCTTGATCGTCACCTTGTTCAACTTCTTGTAGTCGGTGCATAATCGAATTGTCCCGTCCTTCTTCTTCACAAAGATGACCGGTGCTCCCCAAAGAGACACATTCGGCCGGATGAAATCTTTCGCTGAAAGATCCTCAATATGCTTCTTCAGCTCAGCCAATACCGGTGGCGACATCAGATATGGAGCTAAAGAGATCGGCCCCGCACCAGGCAACAAATCAATGGAGAACTCTATCTCCCGCTATGGCGGAAACTCAGGAATCTCCTCAGGAAACACCTCGAGGAACTCCCCTACCACAGGAATGCCAGTGATATCCTCCTGTGTCCCACTCACCAAACCTCCCAACATGACATACCCGAATGCCCCTACTCTCAAGGCCTTCCTTGCCTGAAGCAAAG